ACTATCTTCTTTCTGCTAGAAAAGTATTTTTTCTGGACAACAAGCCTACAGTTACAATAGCTGCTGTACAAATCTTCCTTCCTTAGACAGGCCCTATATGAAGTGGCATCTATCATGCTACATCCTATAATTTTATGAAGCATACCCGTGTAACCTGTACGTAGGCTCAATTGATTTGTACCCAGGATTAGAAAGTATTTGAGGTCACGAGTTTGACCCCTACAAGGGCTACTTGAGGGTTAGGCAACCAAATAGTCCAGAAACCTTTGGTAATAAAAAAAACTTGCCTATGTAGCATTGAAATGGAGCAAACTGGCTTGAGAATATGATGGAATAAAGCAAAATGACTCACCAAACTGTCTGCTCTTCTTTGTTATGAAGCAGCAGTTAGTCCATGCAATTTTTGACGCGATTTTCATTATGGGTCATCCGGAAACAGTCTCTGTGTGCTTTAGTACAGGGGTAAGAGTGGTAAGACTGCGTACATCCGACCCCCCCTTACCCTACCGTAGGCTGTGATTTACTTTTGAGGAACGAAATGTGTGCTTAATAATTTGTTTCCTTCTTTCTGAGTAAATGTCAACCATAAATTTTCTCTATTCAAGTCAAAGGGAGAACCCTTTCTGGGACATAATTCGTCCCACAATGTTTTGCACATTTGACTGACAATTGTGTGGTTCGAATTCTGAAATTTTTAAATAAACCACACTATAGAGTGAAAATTGTGTGGTTTCCTGCGACTTATTTTTCTCATATGCTCTGTCTTTCTGTTGTACGTAGTGTTATATTGGAGAAAAGAGTTTATCTTTTTATTTACTTCAAAGAAAAGACTTTAATTCTAGTTTCCTCTCTGTCTTTATTGCCAAATGTGACTGCTTAGAGCAAAAGTCACAAAGAGAATGTCCCTGCTATCTGCTTGGAGAAAAGTAATATTTGGCTTTTGAATTGTTTCTCATATACAAATACTTTGACAAGTGATTGTAAGCTCTGGATACCGAGTTTATTTGTCTCCTCTAATCAAGTTCATAGTAGTAATTACTCTACCTATCCCCTAACTTTAGGTTTTACTTGTATAAGAAACTAATTATATACAAAAATATACTCCACATTGCCCCTGAATTGGCTTGCTAAGGAAATGATGTTATGGGGTTGAAATTTATTCATAAGGAAAAGAAAAAATATTAAACACACCCAAGGTAGTCAAAAGCGCTCGCCCCAGCGCTTAAGCGCACCAGGCGCAGCGAGCAGGGCCTTCAGCGCTTGGGAGAAGGAGAGGCGCACGTACCTGGGTTAGGAGCAGCATAAGCGCATTAAGCGCATGAAGCGCTGAAGCGGAAAAGGCGCACACCTGGGTCGCCTGATCTGGAAAAGGCTGACAAGCCTTATTTTTGGTTTAAAACTTTAAAAAATAATTAGCCCATATCTTTAATAACACTCAGCCCATGTAAATAATAGGGTAAAACCATTTAAACCTACGTAAAACCTTTAAGTAAAGTAGGTAAAAACGTAAAACCTTGTGTAAAACCTAAGTTATATCGCTAGCCATCATCGGCTCTTCAGCGTACTCACTCTTCTCACTCAAGTTGCTCTACACCAGCCAGTTCTTTCTGTTTTCTTCATCATCTTAAGCAAACTCAGTTCTCCCTCACACCACTAAACAAGATATGTGCTCTTATAGTATATTTCTATGTATATAATAAAGTACTAGTATATTACTATGTATATAATACTCTATATTACTCATAATAATGTATTAATACTCTGCATTACTCTATATTACTCACAGCACTAGTATATTGTTATGTATATAACAAAGTAATAGTACTCAGTATTACTCTATATCACCCACAACATTAGTATATTGCTTTGTATATAATAGTCATAATACTCTGTATTACTTTATGTTACTCACAACATTAGTATATTGCTATGTTATTAATAATGTAATAGTACTATGTAGGCTCACAAGTTTAACAAGGGGAAATAGGCTCCAATTTGATTGTCTTTCATTTATAGTGTTAGTATTAAAGCCATGAATTCTGAATTTGGTGTTTTATTTTTTGTGAATCATGACTTTATTTTGGTGAATCCTGAATTTTATATGCATTTGGTTCAATATGATGTTACATACATCATATTTGGTTAAGTATGGAATAGTATATGTGATTTTATCTAAGTAATGCGCTTCACCCGAGTCAGGCAAGCGCTTTTTTGCGCCTTGCGCCTCAGGCGTTAGAAGACCCCTAGCGCTTCAGGTGCGCCTTTCAACTTTGACTACCTTGAACACACCATTCTGTGACAAACAACAATAAAAGAAAGTGAGAGTATATTGTTCACTGGGTGGTTATAACTGAAGTTTAATGGCTTGCTGATGTTATCTTGCAGAAAGTGAAGAAGTTTTCGCTTGCTGCACAGAATGACGGGAAATCTGATACAATCGGAGGGAAAATGAGTTGACCTTGTTGTATCTGCCGTTGATACTTGTGCATTATATAATATTCTGAACTTGTGATGTTGATTAGTGTGATGTCACTTGACGGACTATAAACCAGAAATACGTTGCTATCATGGTCTGTAATAATGTGTGCACTCCCTACCAGTTTTGATTGAGATGAGCTCAAGTCCCAAATACCACATGCATTTCATTTTGTTGACATGGTAATGCAATTAAAGGCTTTGCTAATGACCAAAAGTAGGCAAAAAATGGGGGTGAATCTAGAAGGGCTTGTTTGAATATTTTTCTTGAGATTATTTTTAAAGACTAGATATATCTTTTTCTCAAAAACGTATACGAGTATATCTTATTCTGAAGACTGGGAACGCCTTTTCCATTTTATTGGATGAATAGTTTTTTTTTTACTTTGCTTCTAGCTTCTCATTTCTTGCTTTATCTCTCACTTGCACCATTGTTTGTCCCGTCTCTCTATCTTACCTTCTCATCCGATCTCTTCACATTGTTTGTGAAGGACTGTTCATACCATCCCTCTTTGAGCCTTCCTTTGAAGGTCTCAGTTCTTGGAGCTTTCTCAATTCTCACCCCCAATCCCCCATTGTAACTTTCTCGTATGCATACTTTTCCCCTTAAGTACGTTGACCGGTACATCTAACATGCTTCCTCCCTTATTGATGAAGAAAATCAGAATTGTATTGTATGTAGGACAATTTAATGCATTTAAGATTGAAATGCTTAAGATTTAGTCATTATTTGTAGCTTTCTCCCTTATTGATGGATGAACGGCTAGATTGGGCAAAAGCTGTAAAGATTTAGCTGAATTTAAAAGCCAATATTTTTGGTATTGAAGTTGCCCCATTTATATTTTGTGCTCAATGAGATAAACCAGATAATCTATCTTTTAAGGTGTATCTTAATTTGCAGAAGAAAGAGATATGAGACAAACTAACTATTTTAATTTAATATCAACGAGATCACCAAGGTTTGCATGTTGTTGTATGAATGAAATGAGATGTACAAAAAAGAAAAAGGAAATGAAGATCTATGAACAAAAAAAATTCCCACAAAAAAATTCTTCAGAATTTCCAACATTTTAAAAAATAACACTACTTTCCATCAAGAAATTGCATTAAAAGAATTAAATATGAAATTCAAAGTTTACAAAGCACTAATTATTTATGGGAACCAGTTTCCCAATTCTTTGTAATTACGAAAATGGTATCGAAATAGAACTTCAAGTTTCCAACATGCTTCCAAATTTCCGAAATGGGAATGCAGTGATCAAATTTCCGAATTTAGGATGCATTAATTCCTAAATTTGAACATGTACACTATATTTATTATTGGTTATCAAATTCACAAAGTTATATGAAAAAAATATGCGCAAGCGCACATAGACATATATACACATTTATTGAAAAAACTTGCAGTGAAATTTCCACATTTAGTCTTGCAATTTTCATAAAAGTGTCAGTTTCCACATTTAGTCTTGCAATTTTCATAAAAGTGTCAGTTTTGATCCTTGAATTATTATTATAGTGACATTTTTAGTCCTTCGTTTATTGTGTCAAATTCATATTGGAAGGATTAAAAGAGTCGATTTTACAATACTTATGAGACTAAATATGGAAAACATTGAAGTCGAGGACTAAAAGTGTCTCTCTCACAAATAGTCGATGACTAAAAATGGGAAAATTGAAAGTCAAGTATAAAAAATGTCACTTACACAATAGTACGTCGAGGGATTGAAAATAGAAAAAACTCCAAAAATATTTTATGCTCGAAGAACATTCTTCTCGATCTTTGAAAGACACAAAACACACGAAGAGGAAAGATAATGACACCAAAATGGGTGCTAAAATATTTGAAAATTTTAAACAAGCTTTAGAAAAGCAAAGTGTGAAAATGAACGGGAAATAATAAAAGATTTCATAAAGACAAAAGAGGAGGAATATTATCCTAAATAGAAGTCAAAATGTTCTAAAATTTCAAAATGAGATTGTCATGTTTTTATTTCTGTAATAGGAGTAATTATTGTCATATTTTGGCAACACCAGACTTTAAACGTGGCGGTATTTATCAAACTTGATAGTTATATTTGGAGAATAAAAATATAACAGTCATATTTTAGAATTCGAAACCATTGTTACTCTTATTTGGGGAATTTTCCCAAAAGGAGAAGAAAACTAACCTTTTTCTTAATGCCCAACATGTTTTGGGTTTTTGCTTCCACATATTATTTTGTTTTGTTTCTAGTCATAATAATAATACCATTAATAATAATACTAATAACAAATAAAAAAAATAATACTAATAATAATAGAAATAATAAAAGTAATAATAAAAGTAATAATAATAAAAAACAATAATAATACACGTAATGATGATGATGATGATGATAATGATGATGATGATAATGATAATGATGAGATAATAAATAATAATAGTAAATAATAATAATAATAATAATAATAATAATAATAATAATAATAATAATAATAATAATTTTGAGAAAACTTTCTGATCTATTCATATTGCTTTACACCAACAGGAGGGAAGGTCTATTTACGTTCAAGATTCAACATCCGGTGCCTGATGGGTCTTGCTGGATTTCTATTGGATTGGTCGCAATCTGATAGAAATTCAGCATTTTAGGCCTTCTGAGCAGCAGAGTTTTGTATGTATATATGCATAACATTAGACCTTCTTGATTCCTAATCGATAATCATTACGCCATTACTTGTTATTCATGCATGGCAAATTAAAATTCCACTTATTTTTCCTTCAAAATTTACTAATCTGCATTCATAGACATATGGTGATATTCATATGCATGCAACTATGCATCGTCGTTCCTCAACCTTCATTATAATCTTCTCTGTCTTATAGTGAAATTCATGCATTATCTATATGGCCCTTAAAATTAAACAGTATTTTTTTTTGTTTTCAACGATCATCCTGCATTTTTGTCTTGTTTATGTTTCTCCTAATGTGTGTTGCAAAGATAATTGTGGTTTAGTGCATGACAAGATTAAGCTTTTAGATATTAAATGGGGGATTTTTCGCCCGGGTCCGATGTCCGACTGTTTCCAAGTGATCAAAATGACATTGTTTTGCTTACTTAGACATGGTTGGACCCGGAACAAATCTAGGGATTTTGAATTCGATCCCATTCTCTTTGGTGTTGTGCAACTTGAAGGATATGTTCCATCTTGATTGTTTAGATTCTTGATCTAAAACACATGTTTTCTTTATTAACAACCAATTTGTGGAGCGTTCATGATTTGTGCTTTAATATGATTTGCATTTTCCTGCATTGTAGATCAATTTCCATAGCATTCTTTTCTTAGTTAAATTCCTTAAATCATCTGTTGACTAATTCAGTATATATTAACTAAATGAAGGTATTAGGTATAGCTTCCATTCTGATAAATCCAAGAACATGGATCAGTTCTGTCAGATTGGGGAGGTTGTGGGGAGCATGCAGGCCTTAATGGTGTTGAAGCACGACATCGTAATAAACACAAGGCAATGTTGCTTTCTCTTCGACATCTATGTTCAGGCATTCAACAAAATCTCTGATGAAATCAAACAGCACTTAAGATTAGACGAGAGGGGCACAAAGTGGAAACCGCTCGAGCGCCCAATGAGAGAGCTATACAGGATTTTCAAGGAAGGCGAATCGTATATAATGAACTGCATTGACATCAAGAACCAGCTGGGGAAGGCTATTAGTATCCATTCAAACAGAGATTGCGTCGAGCTTCACATTCACAACTTGCTCTCCTGTTTCGTGGTGGTGATCGAGGCAATTGAAGCAGCTGCCGAAATCTCAGGTGGGCTCCATGAAGAAGATGTGCAGAAGAGGAGACTTGCACTCATGAACAAGTATGACACTACCAAGTGCAATGACCCAACGCTTTTCCAATGGAAGTATGGGAACCAGTATTTAGTATCCCGAGAGATATGCAGCCGGTTGGAGTGCATTTGGAATGAAGACAGATGGCTGCTTCTTGAGATGTTGAGAAAGATACAGAGCAATAAGCTGGCGGAGAAGCTGATCATGAAGTTGAGCAGAGGATTAGAGACAGATACTATGCTATTACCAACTTCCCTATTGTTGGAAGCAAGCGATTATCACGTGAAACGACGCATAGGATCAGGCGGGAGCCATCTTAAGGAAATCCAATGGCTAGGAGAGAGTTTCGCACTGAGGACTTTTTACGGAGACATTGAAGTGCTGAGACCGGAGATCGCTATGGCTATGTCGATGTCTCACCCAAATGTGCTGCAATACCACTGCGGATTCTATGATGAATCAAGGAAAGAGGGGTTTCTTGTGATGGACTTGATGAGCAAGAGTTTGGACATTTTCATGAAGGAGAATTCCGGGCAAAGGAGGAGAATGTCATTTTCTATCCCGGTTGCAGTTGACATAATGCTTCAGATTGCAAGAGGGGTGGAGTACTTACATTCAAGAAGCCTTTTCCATGGTGAGTTGAATCCATCAAATATTCTTCTCAGACCAACAACCAACTCCTGCTCCTCATCTTTGGAGAGTTATTACTTCCATGTGAAGGTAGCTGGCTTTGGTTTATCCCTTCTGAAAAGCCAGTATACTCACAGAAGCTGCCCAAGGGTAAGTGGAATTGATCCGGTGGTATGGTATGCACCAGAAGTTGTGGTTGAGCTAAGCAGCAGCAACAACACAGGCAACATGAAGTACTCGGAGAAAGCTGATGTGTACAGCTTTGGTATGCTGTGTTTCCAGATTCTGACAGGGAAAGCTCCATTTGAGGATGGGGTAGGCAGTGGGGAGATAGTGCGGCCCCTTCAAGGAGATAAAATGGTACACAGTTTGATGGCTGGGGAGAGGCCACTCTTCCCACACCCTTTCCCTAAATTCCTCATGAACTTGGTCAGGAAATGCTGGCAAACCAGCCCCAACACACGCCCCGGTTTTTCTTCCATTTGCAGGATTTTACGATACATGAAGAAGGTCCTTGTTATAAATCCCGAGCATGGTCAGCCTGGTTGTCCTCCTCCTCTTGTTGATTACTGTGACATTGAAGCTGGCTACTCCAATAAATTTGCTGCCATAGATGGCATCACGCAATCTGTTCCTTCTGTATGTGAAATACCATTTCAGATGTTTGCTTATAAGCTTGTTGAGAAGGAGAAAACTTCAAGAAATGGTGGCTTTCCATTCACGACTCAAGGTCTGCCTGATGAAGATGATCTCCATGTCATCATGCAAAATAATGGTGGAACTCGTCACAGAAGATTGGCGTGCTCGGAAGTTATGGACAGGAATGATCTGGGAATTTTTTCTGATCAACGATCTGTGGTCTCAGAGATCCCACACTCAAAGCGCTTATCTTCAGCTGATCAAATTTCAATTCTATCTGATGAAACTACCTCAGCTTTTGCAGATACCCCTGACTGGAGGCTACTCTCTGGGCTGCCGAATGATCATCCAAGTGCGCCTTTCGTTGAGAGACGAAGAAGGAAAAGCCATCATTCAATATCCACAGAAAGCAGCAATGAGACCAAGTCAGACAGAGGAATGTCATCAAAAACAAAAATTCAGTGGTTGGCAAATGATGTTTCTCGATCTACTGGGAAGAAGCATTTAACAGCTGAGGTTGCGGGAAAGAAGAACCGTTTGACAACTATTGACCCAAAACCTGCATCAAATCGTGATGATCATGAGGCACAAGAAAAGATATCATCAACAGAAGCTGGGTATAAACCAAAATGTTATGGAGAGAATCCAAAACTAACAACAGGCGTTACAACGACGCCATTTCGTTCTGAATCGACAAGAAAGAAATTCTTAAGCAATATGAAAACCAAATTTAGATTAACCAAAATCCCAGAAAAGAAAATGCTCAGCTCAATAAACCATTCATCATCTACTCCCGAGGATCCACAAAAAGCAACCACTTTAAAGCCAACCAAATCGAAGCTCACACTGAAAAATGCTATATTTAACAATAGTTTGAAGAGCAAGCAAAATGAAGCAGGTAAATTGATAAGTTTCTTTAGCGCAATTTACATACACATTTCTTAGCATTTCTTAGCAAAATGTACCTGTTGATTACTGCAGGCACATCAAAATGTCAATCACCAGGAGCTTCACCTGCAAGGGTGATAAGAACAAATTCCTTGGGAAGATTATTTCAATCCCCACTTTCTTCACCAGTACATCCATTAAAAGCATCGTCACCAGCAAGAGCTACTCCCACGAGATCCTTTAGTTTATGTCCATCTCCAATCATAAAAGGAAACAAACGCCGTTTTTGATCCCATATAGACAGATGAATGTTGTCCGATGATGGAAGCACAAATATACGGAGTATATTTTTATTTTAGACGTTGCCATTTTTTTCCAGCACATTGGTATATACTTTTTTTTATTCACAGGTTCACCCTCCTTCCCCACTTCTGTAAGTGAAGGTCACAAATATGAAATGTAATATATTGAATTTTGAAGAAATGATTTGCTACAACAAAGGGAAATAATATGCCTCTTGAAGTTTTGGTTTTGTTACTCTGGTTCTATTGTAATTTGAGATTAGAACACAAGTAAAGGTTGACTGACTAAATCTTCCAATAGTTTTTTTTATATATAGGCATCAATACATCATTGTACTTTGAACAATGACTCGGATAGTGAGGCAATATATGATGGTGGAATACTGCGCAATGTCCGTTTCCAATATGTTAGATTTTGTTTTTTGTAAAGTTAAGAATTAGGATGATTAACTAGTAATGAATTTAATTAAAATTTACTCAGAGCAAGTTTACAGTTCATTAAAAGGTTATATGAAAGAATGCCTTTGGCCATATACAGGGGTCACAACATAAGGAATCAACTCACATTTAGCAATTGACATTCATTGCAGAAAAATCCGTTCATCTTAATCCATATATAGAGAAGAGTTTAAGAAAGAAAACCTCAGATTAATAGCTAAAGAGCATATGTAGAAAGAGAGGAAGGTTCGAAGTAAGGATATCTAGCTATAATACTGTGGCCATAGACAAGAACATTCAACTGCTGGGAGGTAACTGGAGGTTGTTGTCTATGATATGGAACGGACTGGATAGATTTGGTGTCCAGGTTGTAAAAATATACCTCCCTGCTTTCTTCCTCGCGAATAAGAACAACAGGAGCCTTCTTATTATTAAGAGGAATGAAGGCTTTCACATAAATCCTCCTTGTCTCTGCTGATGACACTAAGGCAGTGTCGTTCGTGATCAAATCAACACTGATATTGTACATCAACACCCACTTTTGAGCAGCCACTGTACTTGGGCGCGGATTAGCTCCATCTTCACTGTCCTTTGTGACCATGAAAACTCTCATAGTTTTGGTATCAATGCCCCCGAACCATAACATGTCACCGTCCTCAATTGATGACCTTGTCATAGCAGTGGTGATGTAGTAATGTGGACGAAATTCATTGTAGTGGTGCATCTCGATGAACTGGACTTGCTCTTCACTGGGAAGATAAAGTGCTAGTGTTAATCTGAACCCGTAGATGTACCAGTGAAGGATCAGTTGCAAACACAATAGGAACATATTCTCCTGTGGGGACGATCACTGTCGCTTCGGCGGCGGCCCAGATGCCTGTCTGGGAAGAGTAAGTCACCATCCTCAAAGTAGGCCTTTCCGGTTGTTGGGCACAACAATCAGTTCGGACGACGATGTACTTCGCTGCCAGTTCACTTTTGTTCTCTTGACACATCAACCCGATGGATTTGTCTTCCCACGACGGTGGCGGCGGGGTGGCAACGACACAACCCGCTTTGTAATCGGGTTCAGAACGTGGTACTTGTGTGACTCACGCTGGCCCGAAAGGACCAAACCATTAGAGAAATTTATGGCTACGCATAGTTCTAGTTCTAGATACTGATATTGGGTTTTGCAATTGCCTTATTGCCGGGCAGGTCAAGACGTAGTATGTTCATCACAGATTTCTTTCCGGGGGGAGGTAATTATCAGGCCGGGCTGATGCACCTTGAAACATGGCCGACAAACCAGCACCGCCGCGCCGACTCAGCCGGCTGTCGTATCTCTGGATGAAAAGGGGATGGGAAATCAAATGATTCCATGACTTCGATACAGGCCGGAATCTGTAAACTGATTTTGGAGGCAAACAGACTAGAATTCCCGCGATTATTTGCTCATCCATGGCAGCCAGACCTACTTATCGACGACTTATGATGATGATGATGATGAAGCTAATTATTATTGATCAATTTGCTTTACAAAGATGAGTAAAATTTAAGAAATTATTCCGAAAATTTATAAACCTGTTGGCTTAACAATGCAGAAACCACAAATACATTCCAAATACGATCAGCAAACTCCTTGGAGTGCAAGGAAGAAGAAAGTAGATTCTTTACAAGTGGAACTAGCTGACTGATCACTTTGTTCCTGGCTTTGGAGTGAAGATACACTTCGCTTTTACATAATTTCATTAATTAATTTTATAAATGTTCATTTTCCCAAACTTCTGAGTTGTCATATATTACCTACCTCCTGTTAAAAAGTGCTCATGCCAAAATGACATAGTTATTTAGATAATAATTAATAAAAAGTTCGCATGACAAAATGACATAGTTACTTAGACAATAATTAAATAAGATAATTCAAATATATTTTGAGAATAATTTTAATAGGTATACTCCCTCCGCCCCAAATTAAAAATTCCGTTTGACTTTAACACAATTTAAAAAAGTGACACTGTTTTGTACTATATTGTTTACTAAATAAGGAAATGGGACATATTTAAGGGACGGATCGAAAAGAGAAATGAAATGTTTATTTAGGAACAAAGGTAAAAAGTATAATATAATGGTGTTAGTATTGATAACTCTGATTTTATAAATGAACTATTTTTAATATTTCATGATTCATTTGTTATTTAAGATTACTTAAAGAGAAATGAAATGTTTACTTAGGAACAAAGGTAAAAAGTATGATATAATGGTGTTAGTATTAATAACTCATTTATTTGTTAATAAATGAGAATCTTTTAAAGGGATGGAGGGAGTACAAGATTAGATACTCTTGATCGACCAAATCTTAATACGTATATCACATTGCAAGGGCGGATCTAGGATTTTTTGTTATTGGAGGCACTGACTATTAGGGTTGGCCAAGAATCATGACCCGTTATCCCATTACGAAATAACCTGAAACTGATAATGTTTCGTTCGTACAATTAAAAGGTTCACATCCCGTCTTGTTGCCCCATTTGTATGATTATCAGATCGGGACCGGTATAACCCTAATCCCGAACCATTCCAAATCGTATCCACCCCTTGCTTGCTACCCACTATAATTAAATAGTAAAGTATAAGGAAATGTCAAGCTAAGTATGACTAAATAAACATATATTTAGTTTTTTTTATTGTAAACACACACACACACACACACACACACACACATATATATATATATATATATATATATATATATATATATATATATATAGTTCAAATAATGCTATAATATTATATAATCCGAGAAAACACTTCCTATATTCCTAACTTTTTTTCTAACTAGTCTTCATAGTTTCTGCTTTCATCAAATCTAAATTTATCTCCTATTTAATTTCTTAGATAATTGTCCAATCGGTTCTGGAGGGTTCTTAGGGATGAGGTGTCATCCTCTTTTTATCTTCCATTTAATTCTAAAGAAATCAATATTATGCTATTTGAATTGGTACTTTTATGATTTTATTGATCTCTCTACAACATTAGTATCATCTGCAAACTTTTAATGAGATTATTATTTTTAAATATGGCTATTGTTATTTTTCCCTAATATAGAATCATTCACTCAGAAGATAATTTCATCCGTTTTTGTCTTTTAATCCTCTTATGAGCCATTATTTTTAATCTCCTTGCACAATTAAAGTGAGAATTTGTTTAGAAAGAAAGGGAGTCTTATAAGTGAGGACTTCATTAGTACTGTATTAAGTACATCTACTTTTACATAGTTACTGACTTATTAGGCAGTAAAAAAAAACACTTATTAGGATTATTGTATAAACAATAAAAGTATCAGATCACCGAGAGAACACAAATTGTGATCTATTTTTCCTTAGCTTCCTTTTAGTTATTTAGTTGCTTAAGATTAGATACTAAGAATAAAATGTATAAAAGTGGTATCCACTAATTTGCAAAAGTTGTGCAATATATTGGCATTGACCGGTTTCCTTGTTCCATGAAAATTTATTGGGGGCACTACTTAATTTTTATTGGGGGCACTACCTTTGAATACAAATTGTTAATTAATTGAACTTTCTTAAAATATACTCCGTCCTTGTAACATATCAAATTTTCGAGTTGGTAAAAATGAGAGTGCATTATCACATGAATCCAAATACGATATAGATAACAAATGTCATGTTATAGGCCAAATGAAATACTAAAAAATTAGTTTCCCTAATAGAATCATTCACTCAGAAGATAATTTCATCCGCTTTTGTCTTTTAATCCTCTTATGAGCCATTATTTTTAATCTCCTTGCACAATTAAAGTGAGAATTTGTTTAGAAATAAAGGGAGTCTTATACCTTGATGTCTTGATATATTCATTTTTTTTTAAGTGAGGACTTCATTAGTAATGTATTAAGTACATCTACTTTTACATAGTTACTGACTTATTAGGCAGTCAAAAAAACACTTATTAGGATTATTGTATAAACAATAAAAGTATCAGATCACCTAGAGAACACAAATTGTGATCTATTTTTCCTTAGCTTCCTTTTAGTTATTTAGTTGCTTAAGATTAGATACTAAGAATAAAATGTATAAAAGTGGCATCCACTAATTTGCAAAAGTTGTGCAATATATTGGCATTGACCGGTTTCCTTGTTCCATGAAAATTTATTGGGGGCACTACTTAATTTTTATTGGGGGCACTACCTTTGAATACAAATTGTTAATTGAACTTTCTTAAAATATACTCCGTCCTTGTAACATATCAAATTTTCGAGTTGGTAAAAATGAGAGTGCATTATCACATGAATCCAAATACGACATAGATAACAAATGTCATGTTATAGGCCAAATGAAATACTAAAAAATTAGTCTTATTAGTGATGTATAGTGTATACAGTATACTAAAAGTATTTACAAACAAATACTACGTAACAAATTATACGATAAAAAACAAATAATAAATTATTAATATTCTATTCAATTTGAAACAAGATTAGTAATCGTAATTATGATTCAAGATCTCAATGTATCAAATTTCAAAAATTTGGAAAAAATTCAAATATGTATATACAATATATAAATCATCAACTTTATATAAAAGTTGTCATATCAACTACTCCGTACATGTTGTCGTTACACGTATCTTTTTATTTTAGACGTTGACATATTTTTCCAGCACATTAGGAGACAAAAGTCTATACCTTCTAGCTTTTTTATTATTTAAAAACACTCTTAAAACTTCCAGTGGTATGTTTGACATAACAATACTTAAGAGTTTTTCAAAAAATAAATGCTCTTTTTTGAGATGTTACAGGGAGTAGCATCTGAGAAAAGTCTGTGACTTTTAGCATTAATTAATCCAAACAGCTTGTATACCGAACAAAACTAAATCAAACAGTCAGGGCCTGTTTACTAACATAGATATTTTCTAGTTTTCCAAAAACAGGAAAACTGGAAAATAGAAAACAGGAAACGTGTTTACCAAAGAAATTCCTGGAAAACTGGAGAAAGGAAAAAAGAAAAACACGTTTACCAAATCGTTTTCCAAAACGGAAAAAATGAGACATGTCTCTCTTTTCCTTAATAATTTGGAGAAGTGACTTTTACTAGTTTTCAAAATTTGGAAAACGCAGATGCTACAGTGCCACTGCAATGAATTTGCTTACTTACACCTAGTGGTGGGTCCGGTCCCGCTCCGATGTCGATTTTATTCCGATACCTCCATCCTCATACCTTACCCTATACCCCTACCCTACCCTACCCTACCCACCCAACCCCACCCCGCATACCCATTTTTCCCAATAATGACCCTACCCCCACCCCGATCCACCCTACCCTACCGCCACCCCCCTACCACCTCGACCCCGACCCACCCTACCCTACCCCCACCCGTATATTACCCCTTACCACATGCCCCTACCTCGGCCCCACCCCACCGCCATCCTACCCCCACCCTTCCGCCATCGTACCACCATCCTACCCCGCACCCTACCCTTCCCCTACCTCGGCCCCACCCCACCCTACCCCCACCCGTATATTACCCCTTACCACATGCCCTATCTCAGCCCCACCCCCACCGCCATCCTACCCCCACCCTCGTACCTCCATCCTACCCCCACCCTTTCGCCATCCGACCACCATCCTACCCCCCACCCTACCCTTCCCCTACCTCGGCCCCACCCAGATCCCGGGCCCACCCTATCGCCATCCTATCCCACTACCCCTACCTTACCCCAACCCCAACCCTACCCCCACCCACCCTTACCGCCATCCTATCCCACTACCCCCACCCTTACCGCCATCCTACCCCCCCACCCCCCTACCCCTTCCCTACCTCAGCCCCACCCTGGTCCCGGCCCCACCCAACCGCCATCCTATCCCAACTCCATACCCTACCTCTACCTTACCCCAAACCCTACCCACTACCCCACCCTTACCCCTAACCACGACCCTAACCCACCCACTACCCCCACCCAACCCCCTACCCCTAGACCTTACCAGCCCACCCCGACTATACCCCTTACCCCACCCCCACCCATAACTTCCCTACCCCCGACCCCTACGAGTAGGTATGGGTGGGTATGAAGGGTTGTGGGGGAGTATGGGTAGAGTGTAAGATCGTGGTAAGGGTAGGGGTCAAGAGTGTGGAATTGGAGAACTGAGTAAAAAAATTGATGAACATGTTTTCAGATTTGAAAATGAAAAACTAAAAAATAGAAACAGAAAATTGGAGATAGAAAAACTGAAAAATAAAAACAGAAAATTGGAGAACGAAAAACAGAAGTAGAAAACAGGAAAATATCTCTGTTAGTAAACAGGCCCTCAACTTTTTACCAAACAACTATCACCTTTTCTTTTTAAGACCTTTTCAGTCAATAAAAACTAATACTAGTAATTATTAAAAAGGTTACAAAAGTATCTTTTCAGCTAGTTATGCCAAACATACGATAGACTCTTTTTGTGTACTGATTCACCCTCCTTTCCCACTTCTATAAGCGAGTGATAAAAGGTCACAAATATGAAATGTATTGAATTGAATTT